ATAGGGTCAATTTTATACATTTTAACAATTATAGTTTAGCCCTGGTCGGTGGGGCTCAGTTGGTTGGAGTGTCATCCTTTGCAGGTTCAATTCCCAGTCAGGGCACATACCCAGGTTGTGGGTTCGATCCCCCGGTCAGGGTGCATACAGGAGGCAGCTGATCAATGTTTCTCTCTCACATTGATGTGTTGTTTTTTTTCTCTCTCCTTCTCCCTTCCTCTCTCTCTCAAATAAAAACATATCCTCAGGTGAGGATTAAAAAAAAGTAAAGTTTAAACACATCAGTTTCATTTCCATGATCCACTTATAATTCTGTGCTCAAATCCAAAATTCTTCTGTTACTTTTTGTCCATTCCAAAGACCTACCACAAAAGCCTTCTTGTGAGTAACAAGAGAAGTTTATCCATTCGTTATATGATTGAATAATTACTGTGCTTTCAAATATAAAAACATATTTATTACCTAAGTTTTTACTAACTTTATATTTCATTTATTTAATTGATACTAATGATAGCAACTGTGCTTTATATTTTGGAGTAATCTGCTTAGCAACTCGACTACGTAAAAGCCATTTGAGCTAACAGTACAATTCTCAAGCTTTCTGGATTGCAAAGCTCTATTGTTTCTTGACTTCCACATATTATCCTTTTTTTCTAGTGGAACAACATTAATAGATTAGAGCAAAAGAGTCCTAACAACTCAACTTCTATTTTGCTTCTGTTGTGGCCATCACTGATAACAGGTGGTTCCTAGGCTATAAAAAGTCGAACAAATAGTGTTAATAGGACTTTGAAATCAATGACAGTTGTTGGATTTGTATGTGTGTTTGTGTGGTTTATGTGTAGGAAGTCAAAATATAGCCTACTCAAAAAATTCAATAAAATTTTTAAATGCCTAATATAAGCTGGACACGATTTAGGTGCTGGGGATATAAGTACAAAGCAATGGGTGCATTCTCAGGGAACTTACATTCTTATGGTAGGAGATGGATAACAGAGTGTGACAAGAAGTCGGGTATGTGTGCTATTTTATGGTAGGATAGTGAGAGAAGGCTTCTATAACGAGTGACATTTGAACAGAGACTTGAAGGAAATGAGCAAGCTTATTGCATATCTGGGGGAGAGCTTTCTGGGTGGAGGAATCTTGGTATAAAGACCTTGATAGAGGAGGTCACATAGGATTTGAAGGAATATCAAGGAGACCAGTGAGAGTGAAGTGGAATGGATGAGGCGGGGAGGGAAAGGAGATGAAGTTGGAAAGTTAGCTGGGTGGTCTTTTTGGCCATGCTAAAAACTCTGAATTTTTTTTTCTTATCTTGGTGAGATGGGAAACCAATGGAGGGATTGAGCAAAGGAATGATATGAACATTTAAAAAAATATATTTTTATTGATTGCAGAAAGGAAGAGAGAGGGAGAGAGAGATAGAAACATCAATGATGAGAGAGAATCATTGATTGGCTGCCTCCTGCATGCCCTACACTGGGGATCGAGCCACAACCGAGGCATGTGCCCTGACTGGGAATTGAACCGTGACCTCCTGGTTCATAAGTCAACACTCCACCACTGAGTCACGCCAGCCGGGCTGATGTGAACTTTTTAACAGGATCACTGTGACTGCTGTATGGGGATAGTGTTAGGATGAGTTCCCAGAAGTAGAGCCTGAGAGGGGGATGTGTGTGTGCTTTATGGATAAAATGGGGGAGAGTAGAAGAAGCAGGTAGAAGAGGAGGAGAATGGCAAAAATTCAGCCTGATCTCATGGGAAGCTCTGGAGCATAAATTACACTGTAGGGTTTTTTTCCACTTGAGATGAGGGAGAGGGGCTTTTTACCTTCACCCTGGTTATTGGATGAAGTCTCTGGGGGAAAGGGATGGACGGTATAAATCCCAGACCCTTCCAGGTGTAGTGGCTTCCATTGCCCAAGTGCAATTATCACTGACGCACTTACAGCAGCTGGGCAAGGGGCTCACCAACCAACTGATAAAAGGGTTTTCAGAGAGTCTGATTGAGTGAGCCAATAGCATCTTCTCCATGGAATAAGGGTGAAAGTAGAGACACCAATTAGGAAGAAAGTGCAATAGTCCAGAAGAAAGATGAAGGTGGCTTGGATTAGAATGTAGCGGTAGAGGGGTTGAGAAGTATTGTTGGATTCTGGATAAATTGGGGGAGGGACAAAGCCCATAAGATTTGCTAATGGATTGCTTTATCTACACTAATAAAAGAGAAACATGCAAATTAACCATCACTCCGTCACTCCGCTACACCCACCAGCCAATCAGAGCAACTATGCAAATTAACCCAACAAAGATGGCGGTTAATTTGCATACACAGGCATGGAGCGAAGATGACTGAAGATGGTGGTGGCCACGCAGCTGGAGCAAGCAGGAGGCTTAGGTTGCTCCCAGCAACAGAGGAAGCCAAGCTTCCCGCCGGCCCTGGACTCTGCTCAAGGAGGGGCTGGGGGTCTGGGCTCCGCTTACGGAGCTGGAACAAAAAGGAGGGGTTGGGAGCAACCGGAGCGGAGAATACAAGCTTCGCTGCTGCGGCTGGACCAAAGGCCAGTGTCCCGGGTGCTGGAGGAGAACCCGGCGCCGGTATCAGGGGAAGGAAGGCCTATTGCGTGAATCTTCGTGTAACGGGCCACTAGTAGAATATAAGAGGAGAAGAATCAAAGGTGACTTCAAGGTTTGTGACCTAGCCATTTATTGAGATGGGGAAGACTGTGAGAGGAGCAGGTTTTGGAATGGGGTGAAAAGTAGAAGCTTCATTGGAAACATTAAATTGCAAATGCCTCGTAGATGTCTGAATGAAGATGTCAAGGAGGCAATTGGATGTAAGAGTCTGAAGTTGTGAAAATATGTTCCATTTCCTAAGTTCAGATGACCAACTGCTCATGATACTAAAAGAATGTGCATCTGTCTTTAGATAGCACTGTTGGAAACTTCTGTTTGAGAGTGGATGTGGAGTGAGAAAGCCATAACTAGTTCCAAACAACCTCAAAAAGGGCAAAAGATACATATTGGAGACCATAGATCAGCAGCCTTGATGACAACTTCAGCCACCATTTCTAAAATAGAGCATTAAAAAAAAGAGCTTTCATATATTTAGCACAGGTTGTAATAATTTAGAGGTAACATGGATTCCCAAAGAACAAGTTGGACCATACTAGCTTCATTTCTATTTTTTGAAAGCATTCTAGGCATAGAGGTTTAGGAAATTCTGTCTTGGTATATCCCAATTTTTATGACAAGATGAAGAAATATAGGCCAGGATATAGAATTATCATGTAGCTTTCTAACTGGCTAAACAAGAGCAAAGAAGAGTCAACCCTTGGGTTATTTTTTTCTGCCAAACAAGTTTTTACAGATCTAGGCCCTTTGCTAGTTGTAATTTTTAATCAACAACTTAACTGAAAGCTAGAAAGCTTATTATCAGATTTGAAGATGACACAACCTGGGGAAAAATAGCTAATATATTGAATTATAAAGTGCAAGTTTTAAAGAAGGAGACACCAAAACTCACAATTTTAAAATTAATAGGGATGAATGCAAAATATCCTATTTCACAGGTTGTGAGAGATCTCCCTTCACAGCAGTGAACAGTATCAACAATTTTTGATAAAGAGGCTTATTTTTCATTGTCATTTGTGGCATGACGTTAAGAGTTCAGGCTTTGGAGCCATTTGCCTAGGTTAGAATCCTGGCTCTGCCACTTTACTAGGTGTGTGATCTTGGGTATGTTTCTTAAAATCTGTGTTTTATTTTCCTTACCTGGAGGATGAGGATGATATTAGTTACAACTAATATTGTTGGCATTTTTATAAGAATTAAACTCATGTAAGGTACTTAGGACAATGCCTGGGACATAGTTAGTACTCAATTAATAACTATTATAACAGATTCAACAATGTGATCTGGTTGCTAGAAAGGTAAGACTGAGTACAATTATAGAAGTGAGCTATCAAGATCAAGGGAAGCTCATGGCCCACTGTGTTCTTTACTGCTGGGATTTTATTCAGTCCTGGGTGTCCCTAATTAAGAAAAGTGTCTCAAACCTGTGGGAAATTGAGTGCTGAAGGTGGTGAAGAGTATAGACTCATGCCAAATGAAGAAAAATGGAATGGACTGGGATAGAGAGAATGAGTTCTTTTGGAAAAAGACTCAGGAGATGAAATAAAGCTTCCTTGAAACATCTGAAGGGCTGTCATGTGGAAAAGAAATTAGACAGAGTCCCTGTTGCTCTGGAGACAGAACCAGAAGCAAAGAGTAGGAATAAAAGGTAGGGTGCAAACGTGTTTTAACTTTCTGTTACTTGCAGAGAGAGGGCAGAAGCCCGGTCTAGTTCTGCCTCTAAATTACTGTAAGATATCAAATTTCTCCACTCTACAAGCCCGTTTCATAAACTGTGAAATCAGGGTTTGGAGTATTATGTGCTCTAAAGTGGAAATTAGGATTGGTCTATTAATGGGTTATCTTCCTAGACAGTGGGTTTCCTATTGTTACCATCGTAACTAGCTAGTTTATTAATATTAATAATAGGAAGAAAGCAAAGGGAAGACCAGACATGATAAGCATGGTCATCTGGACAGCTTCACCAGGAAGCTACAATTTCACAGCCCCCAGGGAACCACCAGTGTATTCCCTGCAAATCACTGGGGAAAGGGGTCTAATAAAGGGGAAGATGGGTACATGTGCAATGAAGTTGGAGTGATGTAGGGAAGTTGCTTGCCTGTCAGTCTAACCTGGAAAAAAAGATAATTGGCTAGGGTGTGGAAACACTACAAGCACGTGAAATCTTCCACTGATAACACTATCACTGGAAATGTCTAAATTGAGACATATTAGAGTAGACATTATTGTATTTGATAAGGATTTATGCGATCTAAATGGTATCAAAGATCTCTTTTAATTCTAAGATTCTAGGAAAAAATTGTTTATTTATTTATTTACTTATTTATTTTAAATTTATTTTTGTAAAAATAGAAAATGCTTTATTTCCAGGAATTACAAAAGCTGATGAAATACGGGATGAAGGGAGTGCTGCTGTAATCTGGTGTAGCGGAAGGAATGGCCACCTAGTTTCGCTTTCCAACTACAAACACCATGGGGATCTCGTGGTTTAAGGTAAGGCATGATGTGGGCCAATATTAAGTAAAATAAGGCTGACTTGAACACAAGCACTGTGATGCCATGACAGCCCATCTAATAACCCAGATGGCTACCAAGTGACTAAAGGGCAGGTAGCCTATACAGTGGATACTCTGCACCAAGGGTGGGGAACCTTGGGCCATTTGGATATTTATAACATCATTCACGAGCCATACAAAATGATCAACTTAAAACTTAGCCAGCTATATTTGGTAAAATATTTAATTAATTCATCCCTAATGCCTTGGTAGGGCCAGACCAAATGATTTCGAGGGCCTGGACCGGACGTTCCCCACTGCTGCAAGGGATAAATAAATCATGTACCAGGTAGGATGGATGGGGATGGCATACAGTTTAAAACTTACGAACTTTCTATTCCTGGAATTTTCCATTTGAATTTTCAGATCTTGGTTGACTGTGGGTAACCACAGAAAGTGATACTGTGGGTAAGCAGGGACTGCTGTACTGTGAAATGCTCAGATCTTTAAGTTCATTAGTTTTGACAACTGCATATCAAGATAAAATATTTTCATCAGCCCATTATGTTCCCACATGCCCCCAGTCAATTCCCATAGTTACCCTTCAACTACTGATTGGCTTTGTATCATCATACCTTAGTTCTATCTATTCTAGAATTTCTTATGAGTGGAATCATGTATGTGCTCTTTTGTACTTTGTTTCTTTTATTGAATATAATATTTTAGAGATTCATTTATGTTGTGTGTACCAGTAGTTCATTTGTTTTTATTGCTGAGTAGTTAGTATTCCATTGTTTGAATACACCACAGTTTTAAAAAACTCTCTTTTCCTGTGATGCACATCTGGATTGTCTCCAGATTTTGGTATTCTGAATAAAATTTCTATGCGAATTCTTATATAAAGCTTTCTATAAACAGACATTTCTATAAACATACATTTTCATTTCTCTTGGGAAAATATCTGTGAATCGAATTTCTGGGTCATAGGTCAGATGTATGTGTAACTTTGTAAGAAATTGCTAAACATTTTCCCAAAGTAGTTGTACCATTATCTATTCCACCAGAAAAAGTGAAACTTTGAGTTGTTCCACATCCTTTCCAACATTTGGTGTTGAGTGTGTGTGTGTGTGTGTGTGTGTGTGCGTGTGTGTGTGTGTGTATCTCATTGTATTTTACTATGTAGGAACCTGATGACTAATGATGTTGACTACTTTTACATGTGCTTATTGGCCATTTGTATAACTTCTTTGTGAGCTGTCTGTTCAAATCCTATGTCCATTTGAAAAATTGAGTTCTTTGTCTTTTTATTATTGATTTATAGGATTTCTTGGTCTGGACATATTTGTTAGATATGTGTATTGTGAATATTTTTTTTCCCAGTCTGTGACTTGCCTTTTTACTTTCTTGATAGTGTCTTTTCAGCGGTTCTCAACCTGTGGGTCATGCCCCCTGAAAATACATCCTGCATATCAGATATTTACATTACGATTCATAGCAGTAGCAAAAGTACAGTTATGAAGTAGCAACGAAAATAATTTTATGGTTGGGGGTCACCACAACATGAGGAACTGTATTAAAGGGTCGCGGCATTAGGAAAGTTGAGAACCACTGCTTTAGATGAACAGACACTTTGTAGTTTGATGTATTAAAATTTATCAATGTTTTCCTTTTATGGTTCATGCTTTCTCTGTCCTTTTGGAAAAGTTTTTGCCTACTGCAAGGTTGTAAAGATTTTCTCCTAAGTTTCCCCCCTAACTTTATTATTATATTGTTTTACCTTTACATTTAATTCTCAAATTGATTTTTGTGTATGATGTGAGGGAAGAATGAAGATGTCTTCTCTTCTCTTCTCTTCTCTTCTCTTCTCTTCTCTTCTCTTCTCTTCTCTTCTCTTCTCTTCTCTTCTCTTCTCTTCTCTTCTCTTCTCCCCTCCCCTCCCCTCCCCTCCCCTCCCCTC